AGTGGACCTCACAGGCTGATGAGCATGTTAAATGATGAAATCAGACAGCGGTTCATTTCAGTGGCAGCTCAATTAGGCTGGGGATGCAATAAAGCATCCTCTTTCTTGCTGTCCTCTAAAATCTCCTTTTCAAACCCTACTTCTTTTTCTCTGAAGTAGTTAGAGGGGTTGACACAGTTCTCCCTCAGTAAGGAAAAAGAAAAAAGAAGAAAAACAGAAGAAAACACATTGACCTACAAAAACTAGGGCTCCAAAAAAAAATAGCAAACAGATTTATGTAAGTTGAATAATGTCTGAGGATCTAATGTATAACTTGATGACTATAGGTGATAACACTGTATTGTGTGATTGAAATATCTTAAGAGAGTAGAGCTTAAATCTTCTCACCCCCCAAAAAACACGTGAGGCGATGGACTGTATTAATTAACTTGGTGGGAGGAATCCTTTCCTAATGTATATGTACATCAAATCATCACATTGTGCATTTTAAATATCTTATAATTTTATTTGTCAATTATAACTCAACAAAGCAGAAAAAACAAAAAACAAAAAACAAACAAACAAACTAGGGTCCCTATGGAAGTATCTGACAAGGAAATCAGACATTTAACATGAAACTCCTTTGCTACGAAACTTGTCTTGCTAGAAGTTTCCTGAATTCTAAGCAATGACGTCACAGCTTTCTTTAAAAAAATATACACTTCTTAACTGCAGAGTGGAAAGCAGGGCACTCCTAGGGGCTGGGAGCGCAGGGCAGGACACATCCACAGACTTGCACTATGACTGCGAGCATTCGATGGACGGGACATGCCAAACCAAAGGAGGGATGGCTGAAGCTCTAAAGCCAACCGCCAGGCAGGAGGAGGGTGGTGCTCACACTGCAGCAGCCACGGCCATTCCCGGTCACACGAAGCACACGCAAACAGTAAGACGTACCACTGGCGGTCCCCGTACCACTGCCCGAGCCGGGTCCGGGGGACGAAACCACAGTCCTGTAGGTAGGTGGTGGGGGGGGAGGCGGAGTTGCTCTCTGTCCCAACCCAAAATCTTTAGGAGATGAGATTGTTTCTAAGTAATCATCTTTAATGAAGGTCTGCTCAGCGATTTTCTTCTGGACTTCTTCTAAATTGAGCGGCGATGGTACATTGCGAGGAGGACCTGGGGGTCCTGGGGGGCCTGGGGGCCCTGGTGCTGGGGAGTCAGCTGGGTTGTCTGATGCAGCTGGTGGAGACACCACCTTTTCCCTTGGAGTCAACTCTGGAGTGACACGTTCCGGGGATGTATCGGAAAAATGGACCCACTTTTCTTCTGTATTAACAGCAACAGACTTGGGGGACAACACTGGCCCAAAAATGCTGTCCAAGTCATTGATTGATGGTAGTTTTTCAATTTTGACCTCTGTGGCTGACTGGTCATTTCCTGTGGTTAAAGTAGTTGATTTTAAACTTTAATTGAGCTTGTTAAAATTATTGGTATGGGGAGTGGGAGGGATGAGGCAAAGCCTGGTAGCTTGCCTTGTGAGTTTTCTAGGTGGGCATATCTCACGATGAAAAAAATGTCTTGATATGGAGTTGAAGGGGAGGGGACGGTTCCCTGCCCCTACAAGGTCAGCATCTCCTTTCTTGCTACTATTTACCCTTAGTGTGGGGTGACCGGCTTAGCTACTTCTGCCCTCCCTGAAAGTGCCGAGCATGCAGCTGCCCTCCGAGGCTGCCCACAAGCGTGCAGAGTGTGGTCATTTTGAGAAGGCAGTGTTAGGTTCACACAGAGGTACAGGCTCTGGAACCGCAAATTCCAAAAGGCAGGTCCCTTTTGAAAAATCTGACCTGCTGAAATACATAGGATCCAACAGAAAAAGAATTGATAGCTGAAAGTCACCTGCATGTTTAATAAAGATTGTCTAGCCTAGCTCACTGAATGAGAATGTTTGGTGAAACTAATTATATTATCTGTTAGTTGAAAAAAAAAAATCACATCATAATTAGCTGAATATCCTCCATCCTGAACACACCAGAAACACAGCACAAAGTTGACTTAAAGGGATCTCCCCACACATATACTTACAAACACACATGTATACCCCACACACCACACACCACACACAGAGGGATTGAGAAGACATTTACTACTCATTAGGACTGTTACATATATTCCTGTTCAATAGGGAAGAAGATTATAAAAACATCTTTATAGTTTCTTTTTTCATCAAGTCTAACCTGTTAACATCACAAGCATAACTGGTATATATATCTGTAGCCATGAAACGGAAAAGTCTGTTTTGCTTAAGAATTAGCATCAGCTAAATCTTTTTAATTCTTATCAGTAATAAGAGAAAAAAATTAAAATTACCTTCTACAGTCAGCAGGAAATACTTGATAACAACTGAAATGTAAGGAAGTGTACTTTCTTTCAAACCGAGGTTATTCAAATGAGAAATTGCCACCTAAATAATTGCAAGGCATGAGCAGAAGCCACTTTACCTTTAAATAATCTTTTAGCTCTAAGAGCCAGCTTAGCATTTCCATATTCACATTTGAAGAGAGTTAACCTTCAAGGTTCCAAGGCTACGTACGGATAAATGAGATAGCCCACAATGTTTACCGTTTTGTTGCTGGTAGATTTATTTATCTCTAACGTAATCATGGAAATACAAGGGGCCAACGTGATTTGAACTTGCCAGCACCTTTACCTGTGACACTCTGGGTGACTCT